GGCAAAAGGCGGAGTTGATTAACATTAACCAATCCTTTGTCTCCATCATCATAATATATATGGTATTGTACTTCATAAGGGTTCTTGTTGTCCACACTCATGACTGTACCAAGATACAACTTGGGTTTTCCTTTCCAGGCAGCGATTACACGACTTCCTCTGGCAACCAGTCCTGGGTTTGGGGTGGTATCAAGCACTATAGCTGTCACGTCATTTGGTGAATGGGAGATTCTATCTCCATCATCAAATAAGATGTGAATTTTGGAGTCTACTCTTTCAACCTTCCCCTTGTAGTAATTTTYGTTGGTCCAACGACCCCATACTGTTACTCCAACTGCAATATGAATTGATAGTAAATTAATAAAGAAATGCATGAAAATCCCTTGAAAGTGAAAAACTATTGTTATAAAAAAATATTGCATATATTTCCAATCTTTGCCCAGGGACTKGGGTGCAGCATAGTTTTTATTGGGGACGGTAATTTGGGGGGTCCGGGAAAATTCCCCTCCCACCCAYRGCTTTCAGAAWGTTTTGGAGTAGGTGGTTATAAGTCTGAAGTAGCTGGCTGCATGTGATACAAGGAACTGAAGGTACTTTATAGAAAAGAAAGTAGTTGGTGGTTAATTTTGAAGCTGGCAGACGGCATATTCTGAAAGGCATGCTATCTCCAAAAATTATGAAGGTGGAGCTAAAATGAGGTGGGGCCAAACCCGTGCTAGCCCTTAACCCCCCCTGTTTGGGTCCCTGTTCCCCGTCTAAGGGATGCTGGAAAAAAAAGAAAGTGGAGCTAAAATGTTGTGAGGCCAAACGCCTGCAGGCCCCCCCCCCCCCCCCCCCCCGTTTGTGGTCCCTGTTCCCCTGCTAAGAAATGCTGGACATGCTCACCTTCATTAACTCGCATCGGTAGAAGCCTGACTTGATCAAACGTGACCCATGCTTGGTCTCCATCATCATATGTAACAAAATAGCGGGGGGCATAGTAATTTGTGGGGTCAATCTGTGTTACCCTTCCTTTGTAAAACTTACTACGTCCAGGCCATGCGCCTATTACATGAGAGCCAACTGGCACATGAGCAGGGTTAGGTACCATGTCGACTATCACACTACTGGCRTCATTCATGTTGTGTGATATGCTGTCACCATCGTCGAAAGTTACATGGACCTTTCCTCCACTGGTACTGGTGACACGCCCATGGTAGTACTGGTTGTTGGTCCAGCGGCCCCAGACAGTACAACCAACTGTTAAATAGACACATATTTTGGTTATTGTAAAGTGAGCAACTAAAGTAGAGTGGTTTTCAAAAACCCATGAATTACTCTCGAAATTACTCATGCCGACAGGCCTGAATCCACTTTAAGTGTAACTCAAATTTGAATATATGGAATCCCTGGAATACTTCTGTATGTCTCTGTTTTCCTATCTGGCCAATTTCTATCTCCCTTGATAAAAAGGACGAGTCATTTTCTGGAATTATGTACACAATGCTATARGCATAAGAACCTACCACTTTCACGTCGCAGGGGTACAGGTCTGACCTCATTCAGATTACACCAGATTTGATCTCCGTCATCAAACTGTACAAAGTACCTGGGGGAATGAGGGTTCATGTAGTCCACTTGCGTAACTTTTCCAAGGTAAAATTTATTTCCGTTTGGCCAAAATCCTACCACTCTAGTGCYGACTTGAATGCTTCYTGGCCTTGGATTGACGTCATAAATTATAGCACTGATGTCACTTGGGTCATGTTGAATTTTGTCACCATCATCAAACTGGACATCTATTTTACCCCCAATATTGGTTACTCTGCCTCGGTAATACTTTTCATTGCTCCAGCGGCCAAGAACACGGCTGTTTATAGCGATTGCAGGAGCTTCTAAAGCTGTATGTATGGAATAAATCAATTAGAGAATACCAGTAATAATCGTCTCTGACCCAGCAGATATTAATGTCATGCATGCAACTGTTATTCCCTTAAGTTGGACATGACTGAGTAATAGTGCCGGTGTAGTAGGAGACTACAGTAATAATAGATTTTCTTATCTTGGGTGTAGCTGTTTTCCCATTTCAGACCAATATGTCATACTTCCCTTGAGAAAAAGACCCTTTGTTTAAGTTGTCTCATGTATCCATATTCATGTGACTTCTCATTTGCAAACATTAAACAAAGAAATGATACTCTAGGAAATGACCTTGCTTGTTTGTCTTAGATAACCTAGAGAAAAACCGTGCATGGAAGAGACCCAACAAACTCTTATCACATGCAATGATGAGATCAGTAAGGGAACCCCCAGAGCCCAGCAGAGGTGAGTGCATTAGTGCTACACCACCCTTGAATCTGAAATTCCCTTTTACATCAATAGATATGTCAAACTAGTCAGAATTTATAATTTATGTCACCTACATGAAGCAGAAACATCTGGAAGCATGCGCATTTGATTGACATCAGCAGAATCCTTGTCTCCATCATCAAACTGAATGTCACACCTAGGGCATTTTGGATTGGCCCGGTCAACCATGGTGACACGCCCAGGATAGTACTTGGCTCTGCCGCGAAACTGAGCAATCACCCGAGAACCAACTTGAACAACTTCAGGGTCTGGGTTGACATCAGCAACAACAGCAGCTTGATCATGTGCATCATGAGAAATTGTATCCCCGTCATTAAACTTGATGTGGACTTGGGTATCCACATTGGATATTGTCCCACGGTGGTATGTCCCATCACTCCAGCGTCCCCATACTGGGGTTCTAGGGCCAAGACTTCCAGCTTAAAGTAGAAAAAAAATTATTTGCACAGTCAATGGGAAAATGAGGTCATCATGACATGAATACTAGGATATGTGTTTGATAGCTTACCATAGTAGCCTACCGATCCATTACCATGTATGTGCCCACCCTCTTCTAGAGTAAGGGTTCTGCCAGAAATCTTTGACTTAAGTTGAACAACTGATCCATTGCGGAAGCAGTCCTGAATAAGAAAACGATGTAGATTCAATCAGAAGTGAACACTATCATTTCCAAACTTGACGACCTCTGATCATATCTAGACATGGTAATTTATTCATTTTCTCAAGACTTAGGTGTGTCTTAGGTGTGTCTTCTAGAGTAAGGGTTCTGCCAGAAATCTTTGACTTAAGTTGGACAACTGATCCATTGCGAAAGCAATCTATCAAGCACACTATTATCTCCAAACTTGACAACCTCTGATCTAGACATGGTAATTTATTCATTTTCTCAAGACTTAGGTGTGTCTATTAATAATATATGATTACTAGTATCTTTGTTAAATATATGATTAAACAAGAATGAGAAAAAAACTAAAAACAGGAATATTATATATATATWTTTTACTCACAAGAGTAGGACTTCCAAGGCTAGCCATGACTGAAGATATTCTTTTGAGAAAAATCGGTGGATCAAATGATTCTGAGAAAAATTCAACAAGCAAAAGAGTATGAGTTAATTAACTGTGAGTATTATTTAACTGCCAAACCAAACCACCTCAATGTGCAATGTAGAAGATTTATACTGAGTAATGAAAACGAGAATAAGAGCAGCTTAAGCTAGAAGGTAAACAGGAAAATCAGGGTTGAATTACATACATTATTCAGTAGTTATATCAAACAGGATATTGTATCGTATTGTCCTGTTAGACTCAGATGAGAGTTTTTAAATTAGAAATGGAAAATCCAGATCATAGTTAATAGAGGGGAATGGTTAGGAAACTCTATTGTTATAGGTTATTGTTCACGTTTTTCAAGCGTGACCGTGCACAATTCTYTGTTTTACCATTGTTTTACCATTGTTGGCAATGGCTGAGTGAACAGACAAAAATCTTTCTTTTGGCAGCTAGTTCAAAACACTTAAAGATTTTTAAAAGATATTTGAATATTCCTTACAATAATCCCGTAGACAAAGTTTATGTTTACTTATTTTGCAATTTTGAATGAGCATAAATCAAACATTGTGCACTGTCAAGACCGGTTCAACCTCACAAGCGAACAAAGACCTGATAACAATAGGTTTCCTAACCATTCCCCTCTATCAACTATGTCCAGATTAAATCACACTT